AATCAAAAAAAATTATATAGGGACCACAAACAGTATTTTTGGGTAATGAATTAATCAATCCACTGAAAAAAAAAAACAAAATATCAAATTACAAATGATTTAGTTCCAAAAATAGGGCTATGCTAAAAATTGGATGAAACCCGAAATGTCAAATGACCTGTTTAAAATAGTTGAAAAAATTTCAAAACCAACCTTCGAGTGACCAAATAGCGCGTTATTTTATTGGGACCGCCAAGTATTTTAATACCCTTATCCATATGACTACAGACAGTATATATCATATGATACGGCCAAAACGTACCTCATTGAAATAACCGGTTTTCGACCCCCCCCCCCCCCCTCTTTATCTGGCTGGCCGGTACGGAAGATGACTCTCGCAGGGAGTATCCGATTTTGTCGAAACTTGGTACATTTTTATTGTTAGATCGAGTTCAGAGATGAACAACATCGGTCCACTCCTCCTGGTATCTTCCCCACAAAAGGTCAAAATTTTCAAAGAAAAAAATTTACCTTATAGAATTAGATTTCGTGCAAACTTTGAAAACCCCAAGCTTTGAAAATGGACAATATCCGCCTATCCATCAAATATCCCCCTCAAAAAGGCTCAACATTTGGAACAATTATGACTCTTGACAAATGAGTAACAAAAGTCCGATTGTTTTCAAATTTCACACATCCAAATATTTTTGTACTAACATAAGAGCTAATGCGAAGATTAAATATATCGGACCACTCTTTCTGGCATCTCGCCTACAACGGGTCAAAATTTTAAATAACCACGAAGCTTATAAAACGCGAAATTACTATTCGATCATTTTTAAACTCGGCACATCTTAATATTTCTACTAACGCAAGATCAGATGTGAAGAATGAATATATCGAACCACTCCTTCTGATACCGCAAAAGGATTCAAAATTTTGAATAGCCGAAACGCTCATAAAATGCAAAATAAAATTCCGATTCTCTTTCCTTTATAGTACATCCCCCACAGAGGGTCATAATTTTAACTACTTATATCTCTCATAAGTTGCGAAACAAGTGAGCGATTCTATTCAAACGTGGTTTTTTCTCCACCAGACATCTGATGTGAATATGGAATTTATTGCCTCATTCCTTCTCACCCATAAAAGGTTAACATTATTAACAGGGTGAGATAAAAAAATTGCAACATTGTCAAACGCCATAGTTTTTACATTTTTTAAAACTTTTATTGAATAAATTGTCCGCTGGAAATGAAGCGAGGAACCTCATCTTGTAACCATTCTTAGGTGTCACGTGCTGAGTGCGATGGTGCTGAGTCTTGTTGGAATGTCCAAGGTCTGCGGCCAAAATGTTTGCGTGCCCAAGGCTTTAATACACCCTCCAGAACATTTTCGTGATAATATTCGACATTTATTTTGATGCCAAGGTTGATTAATACGAGCTGAGAGCGACCATAGGCTGTTATGGCGGCCCACACCATCACCATGGTCGGCGCTTGAGTTCTGGTGGTCAACCGAACGGTGAACATTTTCAGCTGACCTATTTGGCAAGTAAACACGATCATTTGTTTGTTTGTTTACAAACTGCTGGACAATGAATGTTTTCTCATAGGAGAAAACCAAATTCGGCAATTCACCCCTTTCAGCCAAGCGAAACAACTCTTTAGCTATTTTGAGTCTATTTTCTTTCTGTTGCGGTGTAAGTTCTTGCACCTTTTGGAATTTCAATGGCTTCACCGCGAGCTTATTTTCCAATATTTACCGAATGGAATATTGCGATATGTTCAGCTCACGAGCCATTTTTCGGCCACTGCGACGCGGGTTTCGATCAAATCGCTTCTTTACTTTTCGAACTATTTCTGCTGATGTTGCAATTTAATTCAATTTAGTTAATTTAGTCGCGTATTGCGTCCCTTTCTTTGAAGTTCTCTGAGATCTGAGATTTAGACCTCCAGTAGGCCATGTTTATATTGAAGTCTTGTCAGAGGTCTGCTGTACACAGAAATCTCCTAAAGGTATTCTCAATGGAAAAAGCGTCCTGAAAAACTTTTAGGCATAGAAAAAAAAATTAATATATAGCAGAACCTTTGAGAGACTTTTATATATTTTCATCTAGAGATTTGAATACCTTTCTATCTATCTTTTTTGCCAAGAAATCCCAATTTGGGACTCAGCTCTTACCTTTACTTTTATATGATCCCAAAATTGTTACATCATAAATATTTTAGTTATGAAAATGTTGGCTATAAAAAACCTCGGACCGCCTGGAAGTCTTCTATATATAGAAGACCGCCCAAAAGTCTTCTATACTTAAGAAACCCTTTGGAAAAATTTCTCCTCCGGCTCTTTCTATTTATTTAAAAATCTATAATATTAAAATAATCCATAAAAATCATCAATATTGCCCATTTTTGTGGGAACAGAAGCTTCTTTTCTTTTTCGTTCTTTTCATGAAAATAATTAAGTTCTAATTTCAAACAAGATTTTAATAAAAAAAAACAAACATTTTCATCAATAATAAAATTTCAAATCAATCATATGCTTATTAATTTATATTCAAATTTTAAGAAGAAATTTAAAACAAAAACCGAAAAAACAATTCTCATAATTATATTGATTTAAGAAATTGTTTTCAATATCTGTTAAAAAAAATGCCATTTTGGATAACTATTCTTTGGAATGAGCTTAAAATCATCAACCAGTTTGAGATCGAAGACCAGACTTATAAGATCATTTCAATGTTGGTTTTGTTTCTTTTTGTTTTTTTTTGGATATTACGAAAGCATAACAGTCCATATGTCACGAAACGGACTGGTTGTCGTTATCGTGTTTTCTTCATTTTTTTTTTCTCCATACAGGGTCATTTGATGATTAATCGATTGTTGGATATTGAATTCAGTGGTCACCTCAAGGAAAGATGATTAAACGAAAGAAAGAAAGACATAACATAAAATGAGAAAAAAATTAATATTCTTTTGTCTAGGCCTTTTTTGTCACAAAAATATTTTTCTATGGAATTTCAAATACAAAATGATTTTATTGGCAAAAAATAGAATTTTTACAGTTTTAATGATTATAAAACACAAAAAGTAATGACTTAACAGCTCATTTGGTTAATATTTTGTTTAGGAACAACAATATTTTTATGTGGAAATTATACGGCGGGGGTCTTCCCATGTGTTCTATTACATATCTAAGAATTGTTGGTTTCGTTATAATAATAATGAAATCTATCTTTACCCACATACATATATCATTAACATCAGCATCTGACAATGAGAATAACTTGCGTAATTCATGGAATTCATGTCAAAATTCATTAAAAGTCAGAATTGAAAATGAAATGTGAACGGAATATGAGGAAAGAGGAATACAAAATGTTTTTTGTCATATCATTCATCAAAAAAATATGCAGGCACACGTAGACATTCTGGAATGCATCATGAGATTTTCATTCGTACATTCACATTTGGGCGATTCCACGCTATGAATGCTTATAATATATGTCTAGAGGTTTCATATACATAGAAGAACGTCTAGAGGTCTCCTATACATAGAAGACCGCCTGGAGTTCTTCTATACATAGAAGACAGCCTGGAGTTCTTCTATACATAGAAGACCGCCTAGAGGTCTTCTATACATAGAAGACCGCCTAGAGGTCTTCTATACATAGAAGACCGACTAGAGGTCTTCTATACATAGAAGACCGCCTAGAGGTCTTCTATACATAGAAGACCGCCTAGAGGTCTTCTATACATAGAAGACCGCCTAGAGGTCTTCTATACATAAAAACCTTAGAGGTCTTTTATACATAGAAGGCCGCCTAGAGGTCTTCTGTACATAGAAGACCGCCTAGAAGTCTTACATTGGGTCTTCTACACATAGAAGACCGCCTAGAGGTCTTCTATATATAGAAGACCACCTAGAGGTCTTCCAGACATAGAAGACCCTCTTAAAGTTTTCTACAAATAGAAGACCCTGTGCAGGCACTTTTGATCCAGAAGACCCTTTAGGTCTTCTAGACCTAGAGGTCCCCCTAGATGTCTTATACACATATAAATCCCTCTACCGGTCTTCTACATATGGTATACCCTCCACAGGTCTTCGAGACCTACAAGAACCTCGACAGGTCTTGTAGACATATAAGGCCCTGTGGAGATCTCCTGAACTAAGAAACCACCTATATTGCATTCAGAGAACCTTCTATTGAACCAATTTATAAGTCTTCTAGAACTAAAAGATCCTTTGCAGGTCTTCTGGACCTTCTAGCTCTCCCATAAGTCCACTGGACCTTGAAGACCCTCTACTGGTCTTTTACACATAGAAGACCTTCTGCAACATGTCTTCTAAACCTGAAGAGAACAAAAAAAACTTCCTACAATTTTTCTTGACATTGAGGACATTTTACAGGTCCTATAGATATTTTCCTACAAATAGAAAAGTATCTCAAGTGCCCCCTACAAGATAACTGGATCTAAAAGACCTTCTACAAGTTTTCTGGACCTGGAAGACCCTCAACCTGTCTTCTAAATCTGAAAGGCCCTCTACAGGTTATGTAAGCATAGAAGGTCCTGAAAAGCCTCCTACAGGCTTTCACAGGTCCTATAGATACTTTCCTACATATAGAAAATAATCTATAGATATTCTACACATGGAAAACCCTGTACAGGGTTTCTGCACATAGGTGAATCTCTAAGAATATTCTACAAAAAGAAGAATTCATATTTAACTTCCACTTTCGAAATCTGGGTACAATTGTCTCAATTTTTGATCCTCTCAAATTTCACAAAAAAAAAAAATCATTAACTTCCCCATATAGGCATTATATCACCCCCACACTGTTCATAAATCTACATACAAGTACACATATCATATATCCAGAACTACATTCACATATATAAGACCCAATTTTTGTTGTTGTTTTATATTCTGCTTCCTCTTATTTCTCTTGATAATTCTGTGTATTGATTCAAAAAAAAAAAAAAAAAACAAAACGAAAAACCTCAAAACTTTTCCAGGTGCTATAGCAGCAGCAACAATAATGAAACCAAATCTCCAACAACGAAAAATTTACTGCCAATTGGCAATTGTTTGCGAACACCGGCCGCTCTGATAAGGCAGAAATCATTTCATACCCTCAGTGAATTGACCAAATTTTGCCAATTCAAAAATGCACAGCAGCAACAACAACAGCAACATGATCAACGACATCATGCAACAAAATATGCCAGTGCAGTTGATGGTAAGACAATGATGATGAAAAGAGGGAGGGGAGAGGTGGGGGTAATATGGCCGAAAATTATTCATGCAAATCACCCAAAAAGAGACCCATGCCGACCCAACACGAACATCTATTAAATGCCTATTAAAAAGAGCTTTGGGAAAAATTAATAATTACGCCCTTTGACTGCTTTAAATTTTGGGAAGTTGCCCTTCATGGACCCCATTGACCTTATCTTTAACTATGCTATTATATTTGTTCATTAATTTAAATATATCACATATTTGTTGAGGGGAAATATAGCAAACGGACACATTCACAAAAATAATTAACCACAAGTTTTCACATGTGTACATCAAAAAATACGTTTTTTTTTTTTTGGCCAAAAACACCCGCAAAATTCAGACACACCATCACCAACTGCAACAAACAAAAATAACCAACCCACCAAACAATCACCCATAAAACCATTTTGACCTTTTCGTAAAAAAGAGTAGATGTTTTATGAAGTTTTGTATTCTTCGTGTTTTTGTTTTTAACCCATTTTGTAGAGGGTTGTTGTTTTTGTTTTTGTTTTTTTTTAACAAATTCATTTAACGAACATCTGCTTTTTATTATTGCCGTTTAAAGTTGGATGAGGGCCATAGCTTGTATCTTACTCAGAGACAAAGTATGCCTCTGGTCATCTGGGCATCTACATACATACATACATGCGTGCGTACAATCATACATACACTTCATACATGCAGCCAATCATTAAGTTAACCAACAAAAGAAGTATTGGAGAGAGGAGAGTTTATTTCCTCTCTCGCTGTTTTTATTGGTTGCTTGGTCACTTGTGAACAACAAAACACAATATTTTTAATATTTATTTATTTATTAATTAAATTGTGGTTAAGGTTCCGCTCCAACAACAGCAATTATCATAAATACATTCAATACAATAATACGTATATTTTTAAACATATTTATTTATTTACATATCATTTATGATTATATATATATCTCATTATTTTACAGTGGTAAAATAAGTTTGGTAGCTTATTTTTTATTTATTTTTTTTTTTTTTCATTATCGTATAAAAGATTTTGAAAATTTATTATTGAAATACCATTAGAAAATTCTTAAAATCATTTCAAAATAAGAAAAGTTTTTGTTTAATGAGGGAAGGAAGCCACTCTCCCAGGAGGGAGAGCGGGAAAAAATGCGGAAGAAAGGGTTGTGTTTTCCATAAAATGTCCAAAAAATTTAATGAAGTGTTATCTACTCCAATATAGACTCTTATTTGTAATTTGATAATTACATTTGTTAGTCGATAAGCCCTTTTGTAATTTGTAGCATTTCACTTGTAATTCGTAAAATTTCAATTCTAATTCCAATTATTAAATTTGAAATTCGAAAAAAATAAAATTTCGAATTACAAATAGAATTTTAAAATTCATATTTGTAATTCGCTACATTTCGATTGCAATTCGAAAATTGCTTTTGTAATTCGTTAGGTTTTTTATTTATTTCTAATGTTCTTTTTTCAGATTTAATTCGAAAAATTTCAAATGTAATTCGTAACAATTAACTTGTAATTTGAAAATCCATTTGTAACTCAAAACATTTCAATTGTAATTCGAATTATTTTTTTTAATTTCAATTCAAAAATGAATTCGATTTGTAATTCATAAAGTTTCGATTGTAATTCGTAGTATTTCAATTGTAATTCAAAAATTCCATTAGTAACTCGCAATTGCAATTCGAATTATACATAATTCGAATTAATTCAGATGATAGACCTTAGATACGTCTTCTTTAGATAGCTTAACTACACCGCTCCTTCTTCCTCTATCTATTTCACAAAAAATATATCCTTTTTAAGGAGAAGATCTAAAATACAGGGTGAGGTAAAAAACTGTAACAAAGTCAAACGCCATAATTTTTACATATTTCTTTTTAAATTTTATTGAATAAAAGCAAAAAATGGCGGAAATAGCATCAAATTTTAGAATAAGTTTAGATTTGTGTGAATTGGTCACCTTTGACACGTATTATGGCCTTCAAACGGCCAATGAAACCGTCACACGCTGTTGCTCTGCACTATTTTGGCCCATTCCCGGCGAACCTCAAGCTAGCGTGAGGTGATCGACACTTTGGTATTTTTAGTGCCAACCTTGCTTTTCAAAATACTCCAGACACAATAGTCCAACGGATTGGTATCCGGAGATTTTGGTGGCCATTGGCGCTGGAAATGAAGCGAGGAACCTCATTTTGTAACCATTCTTGGGTGGCGCGTGCTGAGTCCTGTTAGAATGTCCAAGGTCTGCGGCCAAAATATTTGCGTGACCAAGGCTTTAATACACCCCCAGAATATTTTCACGATAATATTCGGCATTTATTCTGGTGCCACGGTCGAGCGGAGAGCGGCTATCGGCTATTATAGCGGCCCACACAATCATCATGGCCTGTGCTTGAGTTCTGAAGGCTAACCGAAGGTGCACATTTTCAGCTGACATCTTTGGCAAGTAAACAAGATCATTTAGTTTGTTTATAAACTGCTGGACAACGAATGTTTTCTCATCGGAGAAAACCAAATTCGACAGTTCACCACTTTCGGTCAAGCGAAGCAACTCTTTAGCTCTATTGAGTCTATTTTCTTTCTATTGCGGTGTAAGTTCTTGCACTTTTTGGAATTTTAATGGCTTCACCACGAGCTCATTTTTCAATATTTGCCGAATGGAATATTGCGATATGTTCAGCTCACGAGCCATTTTTCGGCCATTGCGACGCGGGTTTCGATCAAGTTGCTTATTTACTTTTCGAACCATTTCTGCTGATGTTGTTGCTTTCTTCCGTCCACTTCCTTGATGTCGGGCTACGTACGCTACCAGTATCACGGTAACGAGCGATGGTACGAGACACAAAAGATTTATTCACATTTAAATGCTGGAGTGCTCTAACGATAGCCACTTGTGATTTTCCAGCCAAATTTAAAGAAATCACACTATCACGCTTGAATTCCAATACGAATACCTTTTTTGTTCTGGAAAATTCTCACCAAAATGCTTTTGTACGCTTGTAAACAATATAATGAGCTGTCACTGGAATAATTTTAACAGCTGTCGGACGAGTGGCTTGGATATGACAGCAGTCTGAAGTTGGTTGCAGTTTTTTTCATCTCGCCCTGTAGTGCTTATTTATATAAGAAACCCAATAGGATTTCTTCAGTGCTCTTAGATATACAACCTTCAATAGAAATGGCTTTCTTTGGCCCACAATAGGCCTTCCATTGACGGTGGGCCTCCAGCTGGTATTATATGGGCAGTATAAATAGGCCTTCAAATATAAGTTCTGTTATAAGCTAAGCCTTTTATAAAAAGAGCATTTTGATATTGAAAACATCTTTTTTATATAGGAATCTTTGAAAGGGTACAGAGGAAAGAGTATATATAACCTCATTTTTTCTGCAGCTAGAAATCCTTACACAGGTTTTTTTTAGTTAAGACCTCTTGTAAGATTTCTATAGATGGAAGGCCTTCTATGGGTCTGCTATAAAGAAAACAAAAGAATTTCTGTAGGTATAAAAGATACTTTCATAGACCCTCAACAGACCTCCCATTGATTTGTGACCCTCCAGCTGGTCTTATATGGATAGCACAAATAGGTCTTTAGATAGAAGAGCTTTTATAATTCTACTATATATAGACATATTATCTTAGAGAAAGTTAAAAAGTCTTCTTTAAATAAAGGCCATTCAAAAAGTCCTGAATAAATATCCTTATTAGATCTTTTATATATAAAGAACTTGGAAAATTTCTTCCACAATTAGGAACCTTGAAGAAGCCCTTAAAGTCATTAATTGATAAATTGCCTTTAATAGTCCTTCCGCAGATAGACGTTTGTTCTTCTGTAGTAGTAAAATCTTCCTTGGGGTTTCGATAGATGAGAGTCCTTTTATATGTCTTCTAAGGAATAAAGGAGCATAGATCTTTAACATATGAAACAACTTCAATCAGTACTCTACAGATTGCTTTAGCAGACCAGGCTTCTGTTAGAAGATGAACTGCAAGTAGACTTCTTTATTAGTAGAACTTAACAAGTTTTCTTAACGGTTACAAAAGATTGATCCTTTTTGGAATCCATCCCCTGAAATGCTACCAAACTTATTAACAAACTCAAAAAAATAATAAATTTTCGATTTTCATTATTTTTAATATTAACAAATATTTTTTTTATAATTTAAGCTTTTTTTAATTATTATTTTTTGATTTATTAATTTTTATTTTTTCCTTTTTTTTTTCTTTTCAATTTTTCCCCTCTCAAGATAATGTCCTACCCAGTAATTTAAGTCCAATAAAAAGTGCAACATTGCGATCAGATCGCTCATCATCATCCAGCATAAATTCACATAAATATAATGTACACAACAATAACATTAGTCACAGCACCGATGATGAAGAGGGATTTGTGATATTACGCCGACGACCGGCATCATCGACATCATCACTATCATCGGTTGCATCGGTATCGACAACAACAACAGCATCAATTTGTCAAAACTCAACAAAGAACCAGCAGCATTTAGCAAATCATTTAAATAAATTCAATAATAATTTGGATTATACAAATGCCGAGTGTGAAGAGCTCTTGGTGAATGAGCCCCCGGCACAATATTCATCAAACACCCCACATTATCATTCACAAACCGAATATTCATCATTGCACCCACAGCAATACACGGAGAAATCAGGAGCACCATCGTCGGCACCACCATTTCGTTGGTCTGAACAGTTGCCGCCTCAGAATGTCGTATCGGTAGCCAAGATACGTTCGGCTGTGTCTTGCACCAATCAAGATCTAAAAGAAATGGAATATTTATTGCCGCAACGACAACAACAACATCATCTTAAATTACCAACAGCACTGCCTTCATCATCATCATCGACACTTTCGATATCATCCTCTACGTCGTCCTTATCATCCACGAACAGTGGAAAAATGCTGGCTGAAATATCGGCCTCGACAACGCCAGCAGGAAGCAACAGCAACACTCACAATGGTGCTAGTAATTTAAGTATTTCACGTCACTCGCAAAACGGTCACAAAAATCTACAAAAACTACAACAGCATTCATCAACACATCACAATCATATAAATCATCATCATCACCACCATCATCATCAGCAGCAGCAGCAGCAGCAGAAACAGCAACATCCTTCGCAGCTTCATCATCAACATCCTCAAAAACAGCAATCAATGAAAATCACTGCATCAAATGGAGGTGGTGGGGCAGGCGAAGTAGGCGGTGGTGGCAGCACTCCACCTTATGTTGATGAAAACAATGCAGACAATCACCAAAACCTGGCCATCTATCGAGTACCGGCCAACAGCCGTGCCCACAATCCCAATAATAACAAGGGTGGCAATACTCCGCATCGTTCGAAAATGTCGAAAAAACAATTGAAATTGGCCCAAGCCCAATTGGACAAGTTGACACAGTGCAATCTACATTTACACGGTAATAATCGAAATCATTCACAATGCACTTAAAGAAATTTTTCAAAATTGGGGAATAAAACTCAGACATTAGTTACACGTCTTTTTTAAATCACTACCTAATAACTGTAAATAATCAGATAACCTTTAAAGTGTTGTGGTACATTATTTCCATTGTTATCCATGTTGCCTAGATGATATAGATACATTATCCGCATTGTCTAGATGGAGTAGATATATTATCCCGCTGTCTAAATAATATAGATACGTTATCCACGGAGTCTACATGGTGTAGATACATAATCCACACTGTTGTAATGATGTAGATACATTATCCATGTTGTCTAGATCATGTCGATACATTTTCCCCGTGGTCCGTGGTCCCCGTACAGAGTCTAGATAATGTAGATACATTACCCTCGCTATTTTAATGATGTAGATACATTTTTTCCGTGGTCTAGATGATGTAGATACATTATCCACATTGTCTATATGGCGTAAATACATTATCCACGTTGTCTAGATAATGTAGATACATTATCCACGTTTTCTGGATTATTAGATATATTATCCGCGTTGTCTACGTGGGGTATCTACGGAGTCTACATGGTGTAGCTACATAATCCACACTGTTGAAATGATGAAGATACATTATCCGCAATGTCTTGATGGAGTAGATACATTATCCGCGCTGTCTAAATGATGTAGATACGTTATTTACAGAGTCTAGATAATGTAGATACATTATCTACGAAATTTTAATGATGTAGATACATTTTTCCGTGGTCTAGATGATGTATATACATTATCCGCATTGTATAGACGGCGTAGATACATTATCTACGTTGTCTAGATGGAGTAGATACATTATCCACGTTTTCTGGATTATTAGATATATTATCCGCTTTGTCTACATGGGGTATCTACGGAGTCTACATGGGGTATCTACGGAGTCTACATGGTGTAGATACATAATCCACATTGTTGAAATGATGAAGATACATTATCCGTAATGTCTTGATGGAGTAGATACATTATCCGCATTGTCTTGATGGAGTAGATACATTATCCGCGCTGTCTAAATGAGGTAGATACGTTATTTACAGAGTCTAGATAATGTAGATACATTATCTACGATATTTTAATGATGTAGATACATTTTTCCGCATTGTATAGACGGCGTAGATACATTATCCACGTTTTCTAGATTATTAGATACATTATCCGCGTTGTCTACATAGGGTAGATACGTTATATACGGTATCTACATCGCGTAGATACTTTATCCACGGAGTCTACATGGTATATATACATTATCTACGATGTCTACATGATGTCGATATATTATCGATGTTGTCTAGATGATGCAGATACAAAATTTTCCCTCTATCAAGATGGTGATGATGTTTTAATGATGTAGATACATTATCCGCATTGTCTAGATGGAGTAGATACATTTTCCGCGCTATCTTGATAGTGTAGATACATAATCCACACTGCTGTAATGATGTAGATACATTATCCACGTTGTCTATATTATGTCGATATATTATCCCCGATATCAAGATGACCTAAAAAATTATCCATGCTGCCTCAATGCTGTAGATACATTATCCACATTATCCACGTTATTGTAATGATACAGATGTATTATTCTCCCTGTGTAGATGATGGAGATACAGTATCCACGTTGTCTAGATGATGATGATGTATATGCATCGTTATTTTTATCGTAATCGTTATCGTATCGTAATCAATGTGGCTAAAAGATGTAGATACATTATTCACTTTCTCCAGATAACTTAGAAAAATTTGTACCTGCTTTTAATATTTGTGAGATACAATATCCATTTTTTTCTCTGTGTACTAACTTATTTACCGTTTTATCGCTAATGATTTTTTCCACCATTAACCTAGTTATAAACCATCTATGCGCTGTGGATGGTATATACACAACAATACATTCTTCTTGTTTTTCTCTTTCCCATTCTTCCCAGAAAAAGAAGAAAAGTAAAAAAAAAAACTATAAATGGGACTTTGACAACTTTCCAAAGTATTTGCGGATAGAAGGAATTCAATTTTAATTAAAACTCCCTTTCTAATCAATTTGCAGTTCAATATTCTACTTTTTTGCAATTCATTTCGTTGTAAGACGATTTTAATTAATTCTAGTCATTTATTTTCTTTTTGCGTATTTTACAGCTCTCTTTTCTGCGGTCGAACATGGTCACTTGGATAAAGCTCGTACAATTTTGGAATCTACGGATGTTGATGTCAACAGGTAAGCAGAGAGAAAAAAAAAAGAATGTCACTTGGCTTAAATTGTTGACACACTTTTTCTTTAATCTATTACTTTTCCACTTTCGTTGTAGTATTAACACCGATGGTCTATCACCGCTGGATGTGGCAGTGTTGAGTAATAATCGTTCAATGACAAAAATGCTGTTACAACATGGAGCCTTGGAGGGTTCACAGTGTAAGTATGAAAAAAAAAAAAACGATAGTTTCGAAAAAGAATGATTTGGGGTTTTGATCGGGAATGATAGAGATTTGGCAGTTGTTTCAATATTATTTGAGTAAATTTATAGTTTTGGTAGTGTATATATATTACCCGCGTTGTAAAAATGGTGTAGATACATTATACACGTTTTAAAGATAGATACATTATGGATATGATGAAGATACAGAATCCATGTTGTGGTTATGATGTAAACATGATGGACACGTTGAGATAAAAAAAAAAGCTGCAACTAAGTCAAACGTCATAATTTTTACATTTTTTTAAAGTTTATTGAATGAAAGCAAAACATATCGGAAATAGCATTAAATTTTACAATATGTTTAGATTTGTTCGAATTGGTCGCCTTTGGCACGAATTATAGACTTCAAACGGCCAATGAAACCGTCACACGCTGCCCGAATATTGCTCTACGGTATTTTGGCCCATTCCCGGCGAAGCGCTTGCTTGAGGTGATCGAACTTTGCTATTTTTTAGTGCCAACCTTGCTTTCCAAAATATTCCAGACACAATAGTCCAACAGATTTGTATCCGGAGATTGTGCGCTGGAAATGAAGCGAGGCACCTAATTTTGTAACCATTCTTGGGTGCTGCATGCTGAGTGCGATGGTGCTGAGTCCTGTTGGAATGTCCAAGGTCTGCGGCCAAAATGTTTGCACGCCTAAGGCTTTAATACACCTTCCAGAATATTATCGCAATAATATTCGGCATTTATTCTGATACCATGGTCGATTAATTCGAGCGGAGAGCGACCATCGGCTGTTTTGGCAGCCCACACCATCACCTTGGCCGGCGCTTGAGTTCTGGTGGTCAACCGAAGATGCACAATTTTAGCTGACCTCTTTGGCAAGTAAACATTTCATTTCATTTTGTTTGTTTACAAACCGCTGTACAACGAATGTTTTCTCATCGGAGAAAACCAAACTCGGCAGTTCCCAACTTTCGGCCAAGCGAAGCAATTCTTTAGCTCTTTTGAGTATATTTGCATTCTTTTGCGGTGTAAGTTCTCGCACTTTTTGGAATTTCAATGGCTTTACCCCCGAGCTCATTTTTCAATATTTGCCGAATGGAATATTGCGATATATTCCAGCCATTTTTCGGCCACTGCGACGCGGGTTTCGATCAAGTCACTTCTTTAATTTTCGAACCATTTCTGCTAATGTCGCTGTTTTCTACCGACCACTTGCTGTTTTCTTCCGTCCACGTTGGGCTACGCGTAAAGAGCGATGATACGAGACACAAAAGATTTATTCACATTTTAATGCTGTAGTGCTCTCACGGTAGCCACTTGTGGTTTTCCAGACAAATATAAAGAAATCACACTATCGCGCTTGCATTCCATCACGAATAACTTTTTTTTCTGGAAAAGTCTCACCAAAATGCTTTTGTACGCTTGTAAACAATATAATGAGCTGTCACTGGAATAATTTTATCAGCTGTCGGACGAATGGCTTAGAAATGACAGCAGTCTGAAGTTGGTTGCAGTTTTTTCATCTCACTCTATATTATCACCTTTGTAGATAAGTGTAGATACACATTATTGATATAGTGGATATCTTGAAGATACATTATCTACACGATGTAGATACATTTTCGAAGTAACTGAGGTGGTATAGATAAATCATCCCGCTTGTTGATTGGTGTAGATATATCATACGTATTATTGATATGATGCAGGTACATTTTCCCCATTGTGGAGATGTTGCAGATAAATTATCCACGTTATAGAGATGTTGCAGATACATTGTCCACATTTTGAATATAGAGTAGATAGTTTAATCTATATGACGTTGTAAATTTGTTGTTCCTATTGCGGATATAATCTAAATACATTATTCATATTGAGGTTATGGATTCATAATAATCTACGTTGTTGACATGACGTAGATATACTATAAAGGTTATATATGTGGTGCAGATACCTTAACCATGCTATGTATATAGTATAGATACATTATCTAGATTAAAGATATATCCATATATCCACGTTGCGAATAACGTGTGAATACGTAATCCTTGAAGATATTGTGGTGATACATTATCCAAATTGAAAAAATTGTGTAGATACATACTCCAGATTGTGAATATGGTACAGATACATACGTTTTGGATATTGTGTAGATACATTATTCACATAGTACATAAGGAAATGGTGTAGATATTTATTTACAATTGAAATTTGGTGTAGATACTTCATTCTCTTTGTGAAGATGATCTAGATACGTTATTCACCTTGTGGATAAGATCTAGATGCATTCCTTGTTGCGAATATTGTGTAGCTATCTTATCCATAAAATTAAAGAATTCTCTGAACCCAATTAAAAACTAATTTCATTTTTACTATTATTTCAGTTTCTGTTGACAGCATTGGCACCAAATTAAATGGCCTACTGAAAGATGCCGAAATACGGATACACGATTTAAGCGGCTTAGAGGGAACTTGCCAGCCCTCGTTTTCATCACGTCCCTCTATCTCAAGCATCATCATCGGTAAGTGATAGCAATTAATTGTAGGAACCCATAAATAGTTAAAAAAAAATGGGCCACCAACAAAAATGAAAAAAAAACAACAACATAGTTTCTTAAATTGTTTAAACAATTCTCTGAACTATAACTTTTTTTGTGTAAACGATTTAAGACCACATGGGGAAATAAATCTTTCAATCGGCCAGCATTGTTTGTAATGTCTAACTAACATCGATGGATGTTTACTCTTTTGTTGGTGTCTTTTTTTCGGAAACTGCTTTATTTTATTTTTCGCTTTATTTTTTTCGTGCTTGTCAGCTCAACTTGAAATACGTCAATGTTCTTAATTGATGGCACTTAATTCAATGTTCAGCCTATCGAATAAAGCGCCCAACATTCAAATGGTGGAGAATGCAGTTTATTTGAGTTTCTCGTGGGCATTTGCCATATTGGGCGGTGGTTAAGAAACTTGTATAGTTTATTTTTTATTGCGTTTGGGCATCAAATGAAATTTACTGGGAATTCTGAATTTTTAATTAAAGCGAATCTTTATGTAATAGTTGGGAATTTAAAGAATTAATAAAAAAACTAGATAAAATTAACCAATAGTCTTTCAGATTTCAAATATTTCAATTCAAATTCTTGAACCACATAACTCGTTTTATGCCATTTAAAATTCGTATTATTTAATTTCGAATTCGAATCATTTTATAAAAAACAACGAATTATTTAATATCAATGAGAAAAAATTAAAGCAACGGATTAACACCTCAACTTAAGTTTCTATTAATTTCATGACCTTGGATTTTTTCAAAACTATTTTTTAAATAAAATAAAACGAATTTTTTAAAGTCGACTAAAATCGAACCCAACGACTGTTTTTACGTTCATATAAAAAATTTAAAAAAAAAATGTGAAAATAGATGAAATGGATTTCCAAAAGTCAAAACTGCGATTACCAAAAGTCGAATTTCAGATACTTTAATTAAAAAATTTTGTCAGTTCAAATTCGGTGTTCATCGATTATTTAAACTTTAACGAAAATTTATTCTCCTAATCAAATTCATGGCAAATTCAATCTATTCAAATAGACACACAAGCTATACAAAGCCCTATTCCATATTTACCTACCTACCTACCTACCTAGGACTTTAAATGCCTTTCCAAAATCAAATATTTTCTTGTTCTTCTTCTTCTTCGAAACCCTTTTCGCCCAAATTACAAATGTAATTTGCAATTAAACACACATAAGTAGATTGTGCATGGTATTCTCGGATCATGTCCAAACTTCACTCCAATTCCGATACGTGTTTAATACCACCAGTCAAGTCTATTTACCGAGTGTTTAGTAGCAATGGCAAGAGTTTTTCGATAAATTGCCAAATGACATAAGTCACAAGAAATTTCAAAACTATTATACAATCCACAACATGGCAACAGAGGGTATATATCAGATCAAGAAGGTCAAGGTATGGCTTATCGAAAAAAATGATTTTAGTTCATAAAACTCTTTGAACGAAATCTGCTTCGAATATTGGAAGTCGATTTTGCCTTCTTCGTCAATTCGTTGCGTAATAATTATTGGAAGCGCTTAAAAGTATGCTATATAAATACAGACAAATGCTAAGAGTCTACTCTAACATGAGAAGTAAACCAGCCTTTAATAGTTATTAGGCCTTCGATCTGCGATTTTTGGTTCAAAGATTTTAAAGTCTTAAGATTTTTGGCCAAGAAGTTCTTGAAATACATAATTTAAAAATACACGATTTTTTTGTGAACACATCGCTGAAATAATTTTTTTTTTAAAACTCGAAGATTTTTTTTCTGGAGATCGAAATTTTTTCTTTGTTCCTAAACACCACTATTTTCGATCGGGGGTCTTGGTAAGCTTCTCATAACCATGAACTTTTTTGGATCAGAATTTGCTTAAGAAAGTCGACGTTTTTAGTTAAGCAAGTCTGGGAATCCAGGATTTTTGGTCCGGAAGACCATAAATATATAATATATTATAAATCTAATAGTTTTTGAGTTGGAGATCTCAACATAAAATTTTCGTAAGAAAATCCATGATTTTTGTTTAGGAGGTCCCTAATTACATTTTCTTTAAAGTCATGGATCTTTACTCAGGAGGTCATTGAATAATATTTTGTAAAAAAAAATCCAGAATTGTTTATAGAAGGTCCTTGAATAAAACTTTTTTAACAATTAATTATTTCGGTCAGGATTTGATCAAGAAATTCCACAATTTTTGACAAATTAGGTCTTTTTACCAAATTTTCTGATAAGTAGGACCTCAAATTAATCTGTTTTAAATATTGCAATTTTTAGTAAGGAGGTCCTCCAAAAAACAAAAAAAATATAAATCCATGATTTTTAGTCGGCTGACTTTAGATTAAATAGAATACAGTTTGAGAACTTTGGCACGAATTATGATCTTCAAAGGGCCAATGAAACCGTCACACGCTACCCGAATGTGGCTCTGCTCTATTTTGGTCCATTACCGGCGAAGCGCTTGCTTGAGGTGATCGACACCTGGTATTTTTTAATGCCAACCTTGCTTTCCAAAATACTCCAGACACAATACTCCAACGGATTGGTATCCGGAGATTTTGGTGGCCATTGTGCGCTGGAAATGAAGCTAGGAAGCTCATTTTGTCGCTGTTGGAATGTCCAAGGTCTGCGGCCAAAATGTTTGCATGCCTAAGGCTTTAATACATCCTCCAGAATATTTTCGCGATAATATTCGGCTCAAAAATCCACCAACCATAAACACGACTTTCTGAAATAAATTTTCAAAATATGCACGACTTTTGATCAAGAAATCTTTGAAAAATATTCTAAAAATCCGAAAATCTTCCATAAAAACTATTTTAATAAATACACGATTCTTTATTAAGCAGCGATCGAAATCATTTTTATTTTTATAAATTTTGACCAAAAAGTTCCTGAGAAATTATTTTAAAGAATTGGAAATCCTTAAAAAAATTGGAAAACTCGACGATTGTTGGCTTCCAAAACATATTTTTGAAAAATCCACGATGTTTTACAGAAAAACTTCTTTGAAAATCATTTTTTCAACCATCCACGATTCTTGAACAAGAAGTCCTGGAAAATATTTTTAAAAACTCAACGATTCTCAATTAAGTAGTTCTAATATTATTTTTAAGTTTGGCATTCGCGAGAAAGAGTTCTATGCAAAATCCAGAATTTTGTCCCAAAAACCTCTTGTTTTTTATGAGAAATATTTTTATTTTAAATAAATAAAATTTTTTTTTGGAAATTATTTTTACAATAGTCCCGGATTCTTGGACAAAAATTCCTTGAAAAATTTTCTTTCAAATATTTTATTTTTGAAAAATTTTTTGCTAATATTTACATACTTATAAATATTTTAAAAATCCCATATTTTTAAACGTTTCTTTTCAAGAATTTCTTAAAAGTATTTAAATTTTGATAAATAAGTCATTAAAAAATAGCCTGTATTTTTGTTAACTCCCTAAAATATAAATTCCCTTTATGGACTTATACCACTTTTGCTCAATAACCGCTCACCTCAAGAGTCCTTAAGTCTTACTAATTCTCTGTGTTTTCCCTTTTTCCCACCATATTGTGTGTTTCTTTTGTAGGTAATACTGGTTCCTCGGTCACTGGCTGTACCGGCAATGAGGTCGATAAGCAAATTGGCATTTGGGAAAGACGTGTCAAAGGTTTGCGTCGTTTGCTCCTGGGCTGGGATCAGGCACGGCCACCAGATGCCCCAGCATCGGTTACAGTTGATGTTACGGGTGAAAATTCGATACAAGTGCAAATACTGGAACCATTCGATGGAGCGATTGGTACTAAATTTAAAGGTAAATATACACACCAACATTCATACACAGGCACACACTTACACAAATACACACACATACTAAATACATTGTGTATGTGTGTGTGTTTGAACAAAACGGCAAGAGGATTAAAATGAACATCGTTGGCAGCTATGGTCAGCAATTGATAGCTTGATTTGTAAGTATGTACCCGGGTGAGGAAGAACGTTTGGCCATGGGCAAGAGGATATTGCAAATAAATAGTGTGATACTTGAATATCATCACTGTTCATCATCGGCATCTCATGGAATACGTTTATTTAAGCTTTCCCCATGTACGTGAAGATTTCTGAAGCATTGTGCCATGGGTCTGTTTTAAATTCTGCAGTGTGTGTGTTACACTCTGAAGGACTTCTGGTCATCATTGTCTGTATTTTATTATTACCATCGTCATCCTTTTCACAATCCAAACAAAATACGAACGAAACGAAAAACAAAGAAGTAAATCAGTATCAGTGTGCCTGAATGCCAGAGTAATTTACTTAACGTATAGGTTTGATTGTGGATTGAGTTTTGTTGGAATTGCTTGTGGGTCGTAAAGGACACTGACTGGACTACTTTCGAATGAGGCCAATAAAGGATAATCTTAATAAGTTGTTGAAATGAGCCCCAAAAAAATGAGACGAAATACACTTGGGGAATATTAATAAATATTGGGAGTGTTGTAAGAATCAATACAAAAAACATGGAGAACTGATTATTATTTGCAATTTTTTTCGATATCATAAAGGAAAAATCGGGTAACGTAGTAAAAACTTTTACATTCTTGCAGTTCTGTAACAGAGCATATATTTTTAGGAGTGTCCAATAACTAGGGTCCAATTTTATTAAAAAACGAAGGGGGTTTTTTGGCTTTGAAAAGGGACTAGGAATTTTTCATCCATATATAGAATAGAAATAGATTGTGTTATACCTAGGAGCCTAGTAAAAGGTCTTCTTTTTATAAGGGACCTATAGAAATTTGTCAATGTAAAGAAGGCCTATATAAGCTTTTCTACGCATAGAAATTCTGAAGGAGGTCTCCTACACATATATCGAGGAGGTCTCCTCTATATATCGAAAATCAATAGCCCTCTATGTACAAAGGTTTTTTTATGTGTGGATAACCTTTCAAAGAATTTCCAAGTGCAGAAGGCTTATAGTAGGACCTATTTACATGAAACCGAAACATATGATCTTTTTTAAAGAGAAGAATGATGGGAAAATTTTCGAACAAAAAAAAACACAAAAAATAGAAAATTTCATGGAATCTTTATTTGAATTGACTGTACTGTCCATATAACGTATTAGCCATATGGCTAAAGAGGGTATATATTATTTGAAACGGCCAAAGCACGCCTCATCTCTTTGGACCAAATCTGTTTCAAGACATTTGGAGTCGTTCTAGGAGTGTCAGTCCGTCTGTGTTTGTCAGTGTTTTTGTCAGTGCTAGACGAGGCGCGAAAATGAACAATATCGACCCACTCCATCAAGTACCTCCCCCACAAAGGGTCAACATTTTGAGTGTTTATAACTCTTGTAAAATACGAAATAAGCATTCGATTTGCTTCAAATTCTACACATTCCAATACTTTTATTAAGACAAGATATGGTGTGATTATGGTATCTATCGATCCACTCCTTCTGGTACCTTTCTCACAAAGGGATCAACATTTTGAATAGCTATGAATAGCTCGTAGAACGCAAAATTAGCAACGCAAACCTTTCAAACTCGACACATCCCAATATTTCTATTAACACAAGATCTGTTGTAAAGATTGTAGATATCGGCCCACTTCTTCTGATACCTCCCCCACAAAGGGTTCAATATTTTGTATAATTTCCGAAATAAGAATGGATTCCTCCTTACACTTCCCAATATTTTTATGAACACAAGATCTGTTGTGAAGATGGGATATATCGGTCCACTCCTTCTGAAACTTTTCCCACAAAGGGGTCAAGGTTTTGAATAACAAAACGCTGATAAAATGCGAAATGAGAATCCGATTATTTTCAAACCCGACATATGTCAATATTTCTATCAGTTGTGGGGAACCATTTTCAATATTTGTATCTCTCATAACTTGCAAAAATTTGTCATAACTACAGGGTGAGATAAAAAAAAACTGCAACAAAAAAATTTATACATTTTTTTTAAATTTTATTAAATAAAAGCACATCATGTCGAAAATAGCATCAAATTTTAGAATAAGTTTAGATTTGTTAGAATTGGTCACCTTTGGCACGAAACCGCCAATGAAACCGTCACACGCAGCCCGAATGTTGCTCTGCGCTATTTTGGCCCTTTCCCGACGAAGCGCTTGCTTGAGGTGATCGACACTTTGGTGATGTTTAGTGCCAAACTTGCTTTCCAAAATACTCCAGACACAATAGTCCAACGGATTGGTATCCGTAGATTTTGGTAGCCATTGTGGGCGGGAAATGAAGCGAGGAACCTCATTTTGATACCATTCTTGGGTGTAGCGTGCTGAGTGCGATGGTGCTGAGTCCTGTTGGAATGTCCAAGGTCTGCGGCCAAAATGTTTAATACACCTTTCATAATATTTTCGCTATAATATTCGGCATTTATTCTGATGCCACGGTCGATTAATACGAGCGGAGAGCGACCATCGGCTGAGTTCTGGTGACCAACCGAAGGTGCACATTTTCAGCTGACCTCTTTGGCAAGTAAACACGATAATTTTGTTTGTTTACAAACTGCTGGACAACGAATGTTTTCTCATCGGAGAAAACCAAATTCGGCAGTTCACCACTTTCGGCCAAGCGAAGCAACTCTTTAGCTCTTCTGAGTCTATTTTCTTTCTGTTGCGGTGTAAGTTCTTGCACTTTTTGGAATATCAATGGCTTTACCCCGAGCTCATTTTTCAATATTTGCCGAATATGTTCTGGTCACGAACCATTTTTTGGCCGCTGCGACGGTGGTTTCGATCAAGTTGCTTCCTTACTTTTCGAACCATTTCTGCTGATGTTGTGGTTTTTTCCGTCCACTTCCTCGTCGGGCTACGCTACCAGTATTACGGTAACGAGCTATGGTACGGGATACAAAATGTTTTTTCACATTTAAATGCTGGAGTCCTCTAACGATAGCCACCTGTGGTTTTCCAGCCAAATATAAAGGAATCACACTATGACTCTTGTATTCCATCACGAATAACTTTTTTTCTGGAAAATTCTCACCCAAATGCTTTTTTACGCTTGTAAACAATATAAGAAGCTGTCACTGGAATAATTTTAAGGGCTGTCGGACGGGTGGCTTAGAAATTACAGAGATCTGATGTGAACATGGAATTTATCGGTTCACTCCTTTTGGGACCTTCCCCACAAAAGGTTAAAAATTTGATTAACAATTCTTAGCACAAAATTGAAAAACATATTTGTTTTTTTTTTGTAATTTTGCACATCCCAATGTCTATATCATTATTAAATAATATCTTCGGTCCACTTTATTTGATAGTTCCCTCTCATTTCAAAATTTTCCAAAAATGATCACATATCTCATATAAACTGAAGGAAGTCGTGCCAAATCTGAAACGTTGTAATGTTTATATCAGACTTATGTCAGATACGAAATGAACAACATTGGCCCACTCCTTCAGAAGCTCCCCCATAAAGGGTCAACAGTTTAAATAATCATAACGCAAGCTAAAATATATTTAAATAATCAAAATTTGGCTGAGCTGAATCCGGCTGATACTCTTTAACTTGTTTTAATCAAATTCAATTAATTGATTTCATTTGTTTCCTAAATAGAAAATAGTTTTCTTCACTTCTTCAAACCACAACCCATACTGTCAAACAGTATTTTCATTTAACAAACAATACCACAACGAACAATTCAAACCACAAAAGCCTTTATATTTCTTACCTCCCTCTCTCTATCTCTCTCTCTCTCTCTCTCTCTCTGTCGCTCAATGTTACTCTTTCATAACCCAATAACAGGTGAAATTGAAAGATGAAACTTCAACAAATACAAACAATATGAAATTTCATAATTTGAATTGTGTTATTGTTTACTCGGAAACAATGTCTGTCCATGGCTGCAATTGTGAGTCCTTTTTGTTCGCCACATTGTTTACTTGCTGTGTTCAGGATAATTGTCACACAAACACACTCGCACCTCAATCACCGTGTCACAATGTCAACACTATACAGATTTTAACAAACAAAGCATTTGATTTTATTCCTCCCTCGCTTGCTCCCTTCCATTCACATACTATCTTCTTTTTGGATTTCCAGTGCAATGGTCAACTCGTGCAGATTTCAGCAATGTCGTGGGTGAACGCGAACTCATGGACTGGCGTAGCTTTCACGGTACCATGGGTACACAGTGTCAGATTACGGGATTGACACAGGGTCGACGTTATTTTATACGCGCAGCCAGTGGCAATGTCAAAGGATGGGGACCATACAAGTGTTCGGTGCCGGCCAGTGTTATACCGTCAAGTGAGTAGAACGAAAGAATAAAATAAGCGATAAAATGAAATGTTCTCACTTTCATCCACGGGCGATGAAAGGTGAATGAATAAATAATGCAAAACAATTTAATTGAATATTTGTTTTCTCCCTCTCTTTCTTAATTGTTTGCCACAAAATAGGCTGGCGCGATTTAAATAATCGCGAAGATCGTTATACGGGTCGCCAACGTATGCTGGACAATCTGTTTACGGCCGTACGTTTGGCCCGACCATCCGATGTCTCCGAACTGACTTTGGACACCAATAGCGCTCAACGGAGAAATCCCAAAAAGAAGACAACCATAAAGCAGCTGTTCTCGGTGGCTTCCAAGTTTCAAAAACATTTGAGGAGGTAAGTGGATGCCCTCTCTTGAGAATTTGTTAATGGATTGCAAAATTATTGATTTTTTGTTTTTTCAGGGGTATTTATTTGGCCAGTATTGTGTATTGTGAGGATAAAATTTTGGTGACCAGTGAAGATTTCCTACCGGTTATCGAAATCGATGAATCCTTCCCAAGCACCTTGAACAGTGATTATCATTGGTTAATGAAGGTATGTGTCTAGTGTTTCCCAAAAATAATAAAAGATTAGAAGGCCTTCTATCAACAGGAGACCTTCGATATAGCTTCTAACCAGAAAAGTCCTGTTGAGGAAGGAATTCCATCCCCAAAATTTCTGAAAGAGCTTTTTCATCCAGTGTAGGTTCGTGGTGGGTCTTTATATATTCACAGAAGATCTGGGCAGAAAAAATTGCAAAGGTCTGCAATATACGGAATGCATAAAATACCTGTAGAAGGTCTTGTATCCATAAAATCCCATAGGAGACCTGTCGTAGACCTTCTATCTACATAAATCCTGTGAATGACCTTTATTCAGAAGAAATGCTTTTCACCCATAGAGGTCCTTTAATCCAGAGAAGTCTCGTTGTTGGCCTTTATCTATAGTAGATCCAAAAAGAAATGAGCGACCTTCTTTAAAAAAGAAGGTCTGAGAAGTCCTTTTTTATCATTTTAAGATCTGCGAAATAGATCTGAAACCCTCTAAAATCATGTCTATCCATAGTAGGCGTGTGGGAGAACTTTCCATATAAGCCCATAGGGGCCTTTGGAACACCTTTCACCTATAGAAAGCTTGTTGAAATAAATGGAAGTCTTGTGAACATTTTTATATCCGTTGAAGGACTATGGAAGGTTTAATATCCACAGAAGACCCACCAAAGTACCTTAGGGCGACCCACTATTCATAGACCAATGGAGAACCTTCTAATCCAAAATGGCTTGCGAGGCATAGCATACCCATAGATTGTCCTCCATCAGGAGGCCTATATTTATAAACGTTATATATTCTAAGAACAATCCATGAACTGTTCCCAAAATTCCCATTACGGAATAATGAGTTTCTTTACCAATTTTTGACATGTGCTGTAGGGTCATTGGTATTCTGTGAATTGAAAATAAATTAAAAATGTATTTTATTTTTTACAAATAAAAATTAAATATCTCCTCACTTTTTAAAACCATGCTCTTTTCAGGTCGCCTGCACTTGGGACGATGTCAAATCGTTACGCACCGACATGGAACGTAATCTTACCTCCGCCAATCATTTTCGTACAAAACTTCTCTCGGCCGTTTGTCAAATGCAATCGGCATTGGGTTTCAATGATCTCGGTCAGTTGTATTATAAGCCCCTGAAGGATGCCCATGGTACGGTTGTGCTAACCGCCATCCAATCGGTGAAGAGTCAAAAACAAGTTTCCATTCTAAATTCTCGTTGGCTTCCGGTCAATAAACTGCAAAAGAAAATCGGAGCACTACATGAGGAGTACAATATCAATGAGATTTTGATATCTTCATTAGCCGAACAGGTCCAGTATCATCAGATGGCCCATCAACGTCTGAGTCCCGGTCTCTATTTGGGCTATTTGAAAATGCAATGTTCAATGGATCAGATCCAAGTAGTGGTGCCGGCGAAAACTCCCAACGTTCTGCCGCATTGTAAGGTACGCGATAATAGTCATATCTCAGCCGAGGAGTGGCAGGTATTGAAACGTGGCAACGGTAGTGGCGCCCAAGATGGCAAGTCAGATGATGGACGTCGTAGTACTAGTCCGCTGCGTTTAGCTTTGGAATTCAATACAAATCCGGAAGCAACAACAGAAGTTCAAAGGTTGTTCCTCTACGATCTGACCACAGCCACAAATAAGCTATTTTCCTACATGAATATAAAACCTCAAGATGCTGTTACCCATAGGCTATACGATGTAGAAGTTATCGAACATAGCAGAGATATAAGTTTCCTCATCATTTGCCCCTCGGTGGAGCTAAGTTGTGCAGTGCCGGGCCAGTCGGAACTGTTACTGCAACGCGAAGATTTGGCCTGTCTCAGTATACAGGCCTTTGAGATGATCCATTTGTCTACCTATCAACCGGGTATTATACAAAAATATGCCAGACTTTCGTGTATTTTAGAGCTGGACACCACCTTGGCCAATCACTCGCAACGGGAGGCCTTCTCCACCAGCGAATTGCAGACAGCCAAGGAACGTTTGGCCAAATTACAGGAATTGACAGCCAGTCTCAATGCCGTCTGGAAGGCAGTGCGTTGGCTTATGGATGTCATAGCATTCGCCCGTGATAAAAATGCCCCACCCTCAGCAGCGATGAGAGAGATTTTGGATTTCGCCCAGAACTCTGAGACAGATTCCCATTCCAACAATGCCCAATTACTGCAGCCACCCATGAGAGGTGATATGAAGTTTAGTAAATCTGGTTCGGGACGTGGCAGTTGGCCTGGCCCCGGGTCAGGTCATAGCAGCTCCAATTTGGGACCAGAACATTCCAAATCTGAACAAAATTTGGGATTATCTGCAGCCACGACGCCAACTGCAACCACATCTACAGGGAATCAAAAATCAACGACGACGACGAATCAAATGGGAATCACAACATCCTCCTGCGCCATGACCACAACACCCACCACTACCACCAGCTTCTTGCAGGTCCAAAATGAGGCCATGTCCACAGAGGTGCCATCGTTGCGTAAGAATTCCGGGGATTCGGTGACCTCCCACTGTACAACCCACAGCTACTATTCGGCCAATGATTCTGTGCTGACGAGCAACAGTGATTTTGGCCAAGTCTTTAGTGTACCACCCTCACGGTCGGATGACACGCTCAGCGAAACAGCCAAACAAAATCAAAAACACATTCAGGGACTTCAACGTAAGCGAACATCGTCGAACATCACACCGACCTCAACGACACCGGTCACGCCCATGATAACGGTGCACTCTTCCAGTTCGGCACCGTATCTGGTGAGTCAGGACCCAGCCACTCTGGGTTCCAGCCAATCGCTGAAAGTCAACTACAACGGCGAATATGAGTGCAAACAAATTAAGACAGCCGAAAAGGTTAAATCCGCGTCCAGTGCTAATCTACGTGATAATGGTCTGTACCTGAAATCCACTCTCAGTGCCCTGCAATCGGACACAAAGACATCCACATCCTCAAGTTTGGGTGAGAATATGCCCGCCTTGGCTAAGCCATCGACTAGCCGTCATATACAACGTCTGAACAGCACCGAAGAGTATACGGCCAGCAGTTGCCCCACCCTTGTGTCTGAAAATCAATCGGACAATACTCCATCGGGTATCATACAAGTGTACACAGCCTATAACACCGGCCTGGCATCGGGTACAAGTTTAAAGCTACACGTCACGGCGAAAACTTCGGCTCGAGAGGTAATAAATTTGGTGGTGAAACAATTGAATATGGCGGCCGTTCTGAAGGGCAGCAATGGTCCCATCTACTCGAATGAGGCATTGGATAACTTTTGTTTGGTTGCCGTTATTGGGGCCCGCGAACGGTGTCTGCGCGATGACTTTAAACCGTTGTTGCTGCAAAATCCGTGGAAAAAGGGTAGACTATATGTGAGGCAAAAACATGAACTGTTGGCCGCCATTGAACATTCGAATCGTAAATCGCATTTGATTTAAAGAGGTTAGAATGGAAGTGGCATGATGCGGGGGGGCATGGCAGTGTGGTGGCTATGGCAATGGTCTCTAATGTTAGAGTGTGTTATATGTGGGGCAAGGGTTTGTTTTTCTGATGGTTTAATAGATGGCAGTTTAGATTTGGAAACAAAAGTTTTCGAAATTATATTATTTTGGCTTGTCAAGTTTAGAAACATAAATATTTTTTGTGCTTACTGGTAATGAAGAAGGTATGTAAATGTCATTATTTCGGACCTACTGGTGAAGTATGCAGTCATAGGTTGAGGTTATTTATTTTATTATTTTCTATACCCTCAGTCATATGGGTATGGGTACAGAGGGAACGACCAAGACGTGTCTCATTGAAAACCCCATTTCTTATATCCTAGGTCTCTTTGAACAAAATTCGTTTCAAGTCATTTGAACTCGATCATTTCGTCCATCTGGCTGCACCAGCGATAATTCTCGAAGGGAGTCCAAACTTTCGATTTTGTGCAAACGATGCAAATTCCAATATTTTTATCAGAGCTATGTCAGGTACGATAATGGATAATATCGGATCAATCCCTCAAGTACCTCCCCCACGAAGGGTAAAAATTTGGAAATTGTGGTACCTCCCCCCACAACGGGTCAAAATTTTTGAATAACTGAAACTCTCATAAAGTACAAAATATATACCTCCGATTCTCTTCAAATTTCACACATCACAATATTTTTACCAACACAAGATTTGGTATGAAGAACGGATAGAACGTACCCCTGCTTCTGGTACTTCCCCCATAACGGGTCAAAATATTCAATTATCATGAATCGCATAAAATGCAAAATATACTTCCGACTTTCTTCAACATTTCACACAGCCCTATATTTCTATCAATGCAAGATTTGATGTGAAGGTAGGATATATCGGTACACTCCTTCGCGTATCTCCCCCAGACAGGGTCAAAATTTTGAATAACTAAAACATCCATAAAATGCGAGATATGCATCCCATTCTCTTCGAATTTTACTCGTCTCAAGATTTTTATTAACACAAGATTTGGTGTGAATATGGGTTAAATCGGCCCACTCCTTTTGTTACCTCCCCCCACAAAGTGTCAGAATTTTGAATAACCATGAAACTCATAAAGCGCGATATATGCGCACGTTTCCCTTCAAATTTCAAGCATCCCAATTTTTCTATCAATTTAAATTTCGATGTGAAGGTGGGATATATCGGTCCACTCCATCGAGTACATACCCAAAAAGGGTCAACATTTTGAATAATCCTGAAGGTCATAAAATGCGAAATCAGCATCTGATTCCTTTCTAACTCGATCCAAGCCAATACTTTTATTAAAACAGGATTTAGTGTGAGGATGGGATATATCGGTCCATTCCTTTTGGTACCTCCCCAACAAGGGGTCAAAATTTGAAATTATTATAACTCTTATAAAATGTGAAATATGTATCCGATTCTCTTCAACATTCGCACAACCCAATATTTTTGCCAACACAAGATCTGGTATGAAAAACGGATAGAACGGGCCACCACTTCATGTACCTCAACCACAACGGTCCCAAATTTTGAATAACCAATAATTTCATAAACGCGATATAAGCACCCAATACCTTTCAAACCCGACATATCCCAATACAGACAATATAAACACAGTGTGCGATCTCAAAAGATTTTGACTTCCGATCCCTGCTTTGGGGAATAGAGTTCCGTAATAGACATTTCTACTTTTTAATATATTTTTAGGAACATCCTGCCATCAAGAAATCTGAAAAAAAACAACAACCCTAAAACCACTACTGCTGCTCCACTAGGACCACCAACAGCCAAACAAAATTACGTTCAGCATACGATTACCACATTAAAAAAAAAGCTTTACAAAAAAAGTTCAACTTATTTATCAACAACAACAACAAGAAAATTTAAACAAAACAAAAAAACGACCATTTTTAAATGCAACAAAAATCTGATATTTCAAAGATTTTCAAATCTAGTTTTCATTTTTAAGGTTATGTTTGATAAAATTTAAATAGAAAAACTATGTGTTTTCTTAGAAGTTAATGACCAATTTCAGAATTTAGACTGAGTTTAAAAAAGGAATTTATGTATTACAAGAACAACAACTACAGCAAAAACGAAAACAACAATTTTAAAGAGAATGAGAAAAATGCAATTAATTTAGAAGAAAAAAGAAATTATACGTTTTAGCAAATAAAAATCTAATTAAAAAAAAACAAATTAAAAAAATAAATATATACAATTTAAAAAAAATATTAATACGTAACTCAAAAGTGTTATCTTTAAAGTAATAATACAAAATATTAGCACAATATATTGACAAATGGGCTGGAAAATTGTGGGCTTGGTAAATGAAGGCAAACACGTTTTCTGAAATTTCACAATTTTGTTAAAATGAAAATAAATTTTCTCAAATATTGATACTTCTCAAGAAATGTGGTGGGGAATAGAAACCCCTCCTACCATTTTTCAATTATGCCCATACCCTTTCAACACATTTGTTTTTATATTGTTTATACATATATTACTAGAATAGTAAGTAATATATACATACAATATGTTTTTTTTCTAAGTGTGTAAAAAATATAAGAAGAACAAAATCAATAAATTAAATAAAAATCGAAATAGACATAATAAATTAAGATTTTAGCACTTTATATTTTGTCCACTAGTTGTTGTAGTATTAAACATACAAAAAAAAAAAACAATAAAATATATTTGTATTAATTTAAAAGTGATTATAATAACAAAAAATAAATATATTTTTAAATGTATTGTTAGATGTGTATGTATTTCAAACAAAAAACAAAAAGACGAGATTTTTACCCAAAAACAAATTATATTTTCTTTAAGAAAACTAAAAAATACCCAACTTCCTATGCTTTCATTAATTTTAACATTTAGTGGCAATTACAAAAACAAAAAAAAAACAATTTATTATTTAAGAATGCAAATCAATTTATTTTATTTTCTAAGAATTCTCTATAATTGGTACAAACACTTTCATTAAGTTCACATTTGTGTTTGTTGTTTATTTTGTTAAACTCAATGATATTGTTTTTTTTTATTTTTCTCTCGTAAAATGTAATATTAGTTTTAACAACCAACAACAAAATCCCCACACGGTGTTTTTTTAAATAAAAATATATATTTTAAAAATTACAATATTTTTTTTTATTTTAATATTTTTAAGTTTTTTTAGTTTTTTTTTTTTTTTTTTGAAAAAAAAAAAACTGCAACAAAGTCAAACGCCATAATTTTTACATTTTTTTTTTTCAAATTTTATTGAATGAAAAAAAAAATGTATCGGAAAAAATTGGAAATAGCATCAAATTTAAGAATAAGTCTACGAATTAGGGCCTTCAAACGGCAAATGAAACCGCCACACGCTGCCCGAATGTTGCTTTGGTCATTCCCGGCGAAGCGCTTGCTTGAGGAGATCGACGCTTTGGTATTTTTTAGTGCCAACCTTACTTTCCAAAACACTCCAGACACAATAGTCCAACGGATTGGTATCCGGAGATTTTGGTGGCCATTGTGAGCTGAAAATGAAGCGAGATGGCGCGATGGTGCTGAGTTCTGTTGGATGCGGCCAAAATGTTTGCGTGCCCAAGGCTTCAATACACCCTCCAGAATATTTTCTCTATAATATTCGGCATTTAGTTTGATGCCACGGTCGATTAATACGAGCGGAGAGCGACCATCGACTGTTATGGCGGCCCACACCATCACCATGGCGCTTGAGTTCTGGTGGCCAACAGAAAGTGCACGTTTTCAGCTGACCTCTTTGGCAAGTAAACACGATACTTTTTTATATTTTTTTCTGCTGGACAACGAATGTTTTCTCATCGGAGAAAACCAAATTCGGCAGTTCATCACTTTCGGCCAATCGAAACAACTCTTTAGCTCTTCTAAGTCTATTCCCGCTAGCAATGTGGACTAGTTCGGCACCGTATACTCGTCGATTCTTAGGATTACAGTAACTAGTTCCACTTAACACCCCTCACAGTGCAAACAACTGTAAACTTTAACATGGGGATGTCATACGAGGTAACCAATTGACTCCTTTTGCATTACCTGTAGATGGTATTGTACTAGTTCCAGGTTTACAGTCATATACCAGAGACAAAAGACTAACCCCTAACTATTCAAAGTGATTCTTGTTCGTAGAGATCTCATTCAAATGTTCGTTTAACTTGTCTGTTGGTTGGTTTTTTGGTGGTGGTTTTTTATTTATGCACAACTGTCGCTTCTTCGTTTACTTGGGGACGAAAAGGTGTCAATTGGTTCCATTCGCATTACTTGGGGACACATTTGGTACTAGTACGGCTTATAACTAGTACAAGACTGACCACTTGTGGTTTTCCACCCAAAAAATAAAGAAATCACACTATCAGGCTTGAACTCAATCACGAATAACTTTTTTTCTGGAAAATTCTCACCAAAAGCTTTTGTACGCTTGTAGACAATATAATGAGCTGTCACTGGAATAATTTGTACAGCTGTCGAACGAGTGGCTTAGAAATGACAGTAGTCTGAAGTTGGTTGCAGTTTTTTCATCTCACCCTGTATACTCTTGATCAGCGTAAAATTCTAAGACGATTTAGCCCTGTCCGTCCGTCTGTCTATTGTAATCATGTTAGAGTCAAAACGAATAACGATAGGAAGCTAAAATTTTGCACAGATCGGTCACCTGCAAGCAGGTGAAGTTCTAATAAGGGCAATATCGGTCAACGATGTCATATAGCCCCCATATAACGGTACCCCCCGATATGCGGTATTTTGATGATTGTAGCCGAACTTTTCAATGAAAATATTCTTCACCAGAGTTGTTTTCACCTTTAGATCGTATTTAGAATTCGTAATAAGTACTACAGCCTATGACAAAAAACTACGTATGCCGGCCCACGTCTTCGTATATCCTCCATATAACGGTACCTCCCAATATTCGGTATTTGGATAATTTTAGCGACCTTATTCACCGGAGTTATTTCAAATTTCGTATTTAGGGTTCGTAATGGGAACTAAAGTCTTTGACAGAAAATCCAGGTCTTCGTATAGGCCCCATACCTCAGTACCTCTCCATATTTGGTATTTTGATTTTAGGTACAATATTTATCAAAATTTTTTGAAATATCGTATTTGAAGTTCCTAATAGGTACTACAGCCTGTGACAGAAAATTGTCTAAACTCTAAATTCTAATTACTTCTTGACAAATGTTTTCAATTAATTCATGTATAATTAGTCAGTTGTCCTCCACCTTCTCTTAGAATTCCTTTTTTTTGACTCAAGATTTCTTTTGTAACGTTGAAGACACGCGATTTTTATACCCTCCACCATACTATGGAGGGTATATTAACTTAGTCATTCCGTTTGTTACTCCTCGAAACACTCATGTCAGACCCAACAAAGTATATATATTCTTGATCAGCGTAAAATTCTAAGTCGATATAGCTATTCCCTTATGTCTGTCTGTCCGTCTGTTGTAATCACGCTATCTTTCGAACGAATTGAGATACAAGGCTAAAATTTTGCACACATGTTTATTTTTTCAGTAGGCAGGTTAGGTTCGCAAATGGGCCATGTTGGTCCACGTTTTCATATAGCCCCCATATAACGATACCTCCCGATATTCGATATTTTGATGATTTTAGCGACATTATTTACCGGAATTGTTTCAAATTTGGTATTTGAAGATCGCAATGGATACTACAGCCTATGACAGAAAATTGTCTGTGCAGGTCCACGTCTTCGTACAGCCCCCATATAACGGTACCTCCCGATATTCGGTATTTTGATGATTTTAGCGACATTATTAACCGGAATTTTTTAAAATTTGGTATTGAAGATCGCAATGGATACTACAGCCTAAGACAGAAAATTGTCTGTGCAGGTCCAAGTCTTCGTACTGCCCTAATATAACGGTACTTCCCTATATTCGGTATTTTGGTGATTTTAGCGTCTTTATTCACCAATTTTTTTAAAATTACGCATTTAGACTTCGTAATGGAAACTACAGTCTGTGACAGAAAATTGTCTATGCAGGTCCAGGTCTTCGTATAGGCCCCATATACCAGTACCTCCCTATATTCGGTATTTTGACGAGTTTAGGTACAATACTCACCGAAATTGTTTGAAAAATGTCGTATTTGAAGTTCGTAATGGATGCTACAGCCTACAACAAAAAATTGTCTACGCAGGTTCAGGTCTTCGCACAGCTCCGATATAACGGTACCTCCCTATACTCGATATTTTGGTGATTTTAGCTACAATATTCGCCGTTTATTTCAAGTTCCGAATTTGAATTTGGTAATGACTTATGGCAAACTATGCCTGTTTGGGTCCACGTCGTATAGGCACCAATATAACGGCTATATTCGGTATTTTTAAAATTTTAACAACATATTTTCAGGGTTTTATTTCCGAATTCTTTCCAAATGGTGCAGGGTATTCAATGTTCGGCCCGGCTAAACTTACTGCTTTTTAACTTGTTAATTATAGCCTCCATCTTGAAATGAAGAGTATATTAACTTTGTCATTCCGGTAGTAACATCCCTAAATATTCACCCCATAAAGTATATACATATATTCATGATCAGCATAAAATTCTAAGTCGATTTAACAATGTCCGGCTGTCTGTTGAAATCACGATACAGCAGCCCACATTATTAGATGTAAAACTTAGGGCAACATTTGGCACAACAATTTGTATTGTGTCTAGGATGGTTGGTTGCTTTTTTCACAGTTTTATATAAAATTGTTATTTGTAGGTCGTAATGTGTTCTAGCTCTGGTGACGAAAAATTGTATGCATAGGTCCACGTCGTTGTGTAGTCCCCATATAACAGTACTTCCCGATATTCGGCATTTTTTGATGATTTTTGCCTCATTTTTCCACGGATTTGTCTAATAATTGGCATTTTTAGTTCGTAATGGGTTCTAGCTTCTGTGGCGGAACATAGTATGTATAGGTCTACGCTATAGTATAGCCCCCATACAACGGTATCTAGTCTATATTCGGTATTTTGATGATTTTTGGTCATATTTTCCACGGATAGCTTCGGTGGCAAAACATTGTATGCATAGAACCCCCCATATAACGGTAGCTCCGATATTCGGCATTTTTTGATGATTTTTACCTCATTTTTCCACGGATTTGTCTAAAAATTTTATTTGTAGTTTATAATGGGTTAAATGGGTTGGTAGATGACAATCCTTAAACTGTAAAATTATCTAAAGAGGTTCCCATTTTGGTATGGCTCCCATACAACGGCTTCACCTACTTTATTGTTTTTTGAAAAGTTTAACAGCATTATCCGCAATGGTATTTGTAGTTTAAAGTGGAACAAGTTTGAATTCAGATAGGTTAAGTGTACCAGTAGTCGGCACTTTTAGAATTTTTAATGTTTCAATCTTTCAACATTCTGAGTGAAATCGTTCAATTGCAGAAAAATAAAGTTGTTCAGATTCCAAATTTTGTTTAGTTTTCGAAATAATAAACAACGATTGAATTTGTTTTTATTAAATTGGCAAAATTTGCAATTTTACTAAAATAGTAGTTTTTTTTGCCAGTAGTCGGCACCATTTTCCAATGCTCGGCATGTCTTTTTGCCAGTAGTCGGCATATAGTATTTCAGTAAAAAAAATATAATTTTATATATTTTTTTTATTTCTAATAGTATAAAACAATGCTATATTACTAATTCACAGTTCAATTAATTAATTTCGTTTTTAAATAGTGTTTTATTTAATTATTTATTTAATTATGTTTTATTTAATTATCATTCAAACCAAATAAATATCATGAATAGTATGCTTACCTTCGGTAACGTATGGATTTTCAATTAAAATAAAAATGAGATTAAATAAAAAAGAAAAAAGTACCTTTCTT